GTTAAACTTCTTCGCTAAAAGCCTATAATGCTTAGCACTAAAAGGCACATGATCGGAATCAATGAGGTCCCTTTTGTTCGTAACAAAACTGAAACTTTTTGTGAAAGCTATTTCAAAATTCATTGGAAATGGTGTCAATCTATTTGAAATGCATAATCCCAACTCAACATCGTAACCATTTAGGAGCTCAATTGTTATAGTTTTGTGAACCACAGCATTGTAGTTAATGTGTTTTATGCCCAAGAGCCTAACATCTTAACATAACTACCTTGTCTATTTAAGAAAGAAAGTTTTGTGAGACCAAAAGTGGAGATCCCCAATTCTTTATTTCCTTAATCACATACATGTTTAACTGTTAATACCAACCAATCTTGTAAATGACATTAGAAAATAAAGACATTTGTACTAAAATATCTGACCTAACCCAAAGTTCAAAATCCAAAATCAGAACACGAACAAGATGATATCCAAACTATCTCAGCTTCTAGACAACCGAGACCGTTCAACTCCATCCTCAAATGACTCGTTCACCCAAACTCATCAAACCTCGAAGTTAACCAAAATCAGATTATCCAACTCCAAAATATAACTATGATTGAACTCCAAACTCAAAACCTAAAAGTCACCTGTATCAGAATTGAGCAACCTAAAGTGACCAAAACTCTCAAAACCTTTGGAAAAGTACAGATCAACTTAATTTGACATCCATAAGAAACTAACATCCAAGTAACCTAGGGTCCAGTTAGTCTAAAAATTGAATAACTTAAGAATTGGATCACCTGATATTTGATTACCCAAATAATGCGACAAACATGAAACATGAAAATATCAATAATTATATGTGAATTTCACACTTCACGTACCAAAAAATCATTGCCTAACTGGAAAAAAGTGTCAGGACTCCAAACCATGCTTTTTCATAGTATACGGTTTCAGTCATAACTTCTCAAGAAAAAAAAAGTTTCACTAATAAGAGGAGGTTTCAGTAGAACTCCAGCCACAACACATTACAAAAACATAATCATGTCCCGCCAAAAGTGTACATGGCTGGCAAAAAGTTAAAATTCTATATACCGAGTCTCAAGCCATTTCCACAGGGGTAGAATACAACAAATAGATCAATCACCTCCAACTTGCCTCTTCCACGTGTCTTCCACAATCAACTCGTCAACTCCCCAGTCCTCATAACTGAATTCATTCATTATATAACAAATTTAATTGACAGATGAAAACTTCAGCAGAGGCAAGGCACTAAAGAAATAAATTCCTGAATTCTCTTTGCAGAATATGTCAAAGTAGCAAAAGAAGTGAAAATTATCAGGGAAGGATCATTTCTGCTAAACAGAAAAATGAGGTCTCACCTTCCATCAGGTAGATAGCGTCGGATGGTAAAGGGTATCTTCCGTTCACGAAGCTCCTTCATGGCAATCTGACAATCAAAATAAAAGGGCTCAAAACCTGTGTAGCATCAATCACAAGGAAAAATGGAGAGTAAAACAAAACAAAAACAGAGAAAATATAACTGTAATGGAACCCACAAGCATCATAAGCATGTCATAGTGAATTCGCTGGAGGGGCTAAAAGTGGGTGTTGGAAAGCATTAAGTAGATCACACACTTTTGTTTTTGAGATAGAGCAAATTGCAAATTGTGCTCATGGGAACTGAGGTAAGAATTGAGGAGCTGCCCCAGGTGTTTAGATGTAAAGTATTTTCCTTCCCCAATAAATCCCCTGGGCTGTTTCTTGGGTCGAAGAGTGAGAAGAGGTGTCTTTTGGGAGCCCATAGTGAGTAAAATGGAGAAAAAGCTTGCAGGTAAGGGGGCACCAAGCCAAACAAGTTTGTGAGTAGTTTGTACTTGGCTCAAACATAGCTTGTTTGAGTTTAGTCAAACTCAAACTCGAGCCAGGATTCAAAACTGAAAAAAGTTCATTTATCTAAGCAAGCTTAAACTTAAGCCTGGAAGTATTTGGTCCAAAGTTCTGGAATGTACATTTATCTATTATGAAATTAAATATATCTTATTATCTGTATTAAGAAATGGTTATGTTTTAGTTGCATAGTAAATTCATTTGTAAAAAATTTAAACAAAAAGATAAAATGATAAATGAGTTATCAAGCGTATTGAACTCAATTTTATATAATTGAAGCTTGCTTAGGAACAGCTTTTTATTGACCTTTTCTCTGACCGAACTCAAACTCTCCTTTCAATAAACTAGTTGAAGTTTTTAGAGAAAATAAACTTTTAATTTTTTATTCCTTATTTTGTTTATATTTAGAAGATATATATAGATTAGTTATCCTTATTCTATTTGAACTCTAATTATAAGATATAATTATACTATTAGAACTCTAAATAATATAGTGTTCTACTCAATATAAAATCTTTATCAACACTAGCCAACCTTGAGCCAAAGAAAAAAGAGTCAAATCGAGCTTCACCCAAGCTCGAGCCTGAAAATATTTGAAAAAAGTAATCAAATACTTGTGTATGCTGCTCCACCTGACTCGTTACCACCCCTACTTGCAAGTTCGAAAAGTACATCCACTTAAAAGGTTGCAGGCTAACCCTAATCAAGAGTGTTGCCTAATCTGCGCATCTATTTCATGTCCTTTTTCACCATTGAATGTGGCTAACAAAATGAAAAATTTGCAAAGCAAATTCTTGCAAGTGCCAGTGAATGGCAGCCAAGATATCATTCAGTCGCCTAGGAGTTTTTCAATAGGCTTTCTTTAATGGGGGTCTTGGAATCTACTATTTGGTTTACTTCTGACCAAGTTCTCCTTGCTAAATGACAACAAAGTTTTTTCCTAGAGAGGCTCTGTTATGGAAGATCCTTAATGCTAAGTTTGGGCTCTTGACATATGACTGGATTACAAAAATTCATAGGAAGGCCCTGAGCTGTAGTATGTGGAGGTGGATCTGGAGGAACTATGCTGCTATTGTTGATGATATTAAGTTCCAGGTGAGGCACAGGAAACATGTTTGGAGGAACCTTTGGTGCGACAATAGTCCATTGAAAATAGTTTTCCAAAGCGTTTGGAGGAACCTTCAGGAGTGAACGCCTAGTGGAGTATTCCTCTCCTTAGGAACCTAAACGATTTGGAGATTAGTGTTTGGAATTCCTTTCAACAGTTATTGGCAGCAACATGCATTCATATGATGGATTAGTCTTTTTGAGAGTTGTCGAAAGATGGTATACTCACCATTAAATCTTTCTATAGGCATATCCAAGAACCTAAAATTTGGACGCCTTTCTGTGAAAACAAATATGGAAGACAAAGGCAACTCCCAGTCATAAAATATAGATTTATCAGTGAGAAGTGAACCTTTTCAGAAAGAAAAGCAAGGCTGTATCATATACAAAAGTTTGTCCTCTAGGTCAACATATATGTATGTCTGCTCATGAAGCACAAGGAGCAGTTGACTAGAATATGAAGGGATATAATAAGAACAGCTCTCAAGAATGAAAGAAAGAAAAGAGTGTTGATTTTGATTGACCAAAAGCCTACGTTATATAGGAAGATAGAATGAACATATTAATAGTTTAGCATCGAATATGAAAAATCATAATTCTAAGAGCAGGCTCAAAATTGAAGTGATTCTTTTCTAATTTTTTTCCCGTTCCAGTGAAAGGCATAAATGGGAGATTCATCAGACACATGGAATTAACACAAGGCTTCATCCATCTTTGTAATTTGATATAATCCATCAAAAGCATACTGATAGGTAAAGTAGGAGAATGGCCAGTTTAAGTTCCTCCATTACAACTAATTCGTGAAACCTAATTTAATCACCAAAGGATAAACAAAGAAAACCTTAGCGGCTGGCAGTTGCAAATGTACTAGGACAAAATGCACATGGGCACATCAGTGACAGGAAGTTTGCCACAAGTATTAAATGGACTTGATAAATGAGCTTGTACATTAATGTGCATGCTAGAGTAGAAAAGAAAACAAATCAAAACAGAAAAGTTTCCTATTGCTCAGCATGAGTCTTAGAAGAATCTTACCTCAAGAGGATCAGTCTCACCCTCCAACTCAACCATGACAGGAGCATTCATGCTGTACAACCAGGAATTATGGTATTAATCCAATTTGAAAGGGCATTAAAAATGGAATCTTGCTCATAATAGTTACAAAAGAAACCTGATCTGTAAAGCTCGGGTACCCAAGATTCTGGCACGCTCATATTTAGTCATATATTTTGATGTTTTACGAGGTCGTTCTTTGGGCACTTCCTCTTCTTTTTCATCAGCTTCAACAGCGTCACCAGGGACATCTTCATTATCCTTATTATCTATATCCTCTTCTGCACCTTCCTGTCCAAAATCCATTGCTAATGATTCATCAAAAGATAAAATAACTATAACCAATTTTTTTTTCAGTTATCAACTTATACTCACTTCAATCTCAGGCTCTGGTGGCTCATCCTCATATCTGAAGCAACAATAAAGGAACTTCAATCAAGTTCTTGAGCCAACAAGGGGAAAGAGTCCCAACAATTATAGCAAAAAATTAAATGCCTTCTTCTTGATAATGAAATATGAAAAATATTTTCCAGTTATGAAAATGAAAATCCATAAGCCACTACTAACTACATGAAAATTATAGAGGTGGCATGTGCTAAAGTGGCAGAGGAATAAAAACCAACAAAACTTAGGTTGTGGCATGGATAATTATTGAGCTAAATATAACACAAATAAAATATTACGGAGTTGACAATGCAGGCACCTAATGCTCACAGAACAACTATAAAGCAGAAGAAGCAAATCCAATATCCTTCATAATATTTGGCTCGTGCATAACCATTCTGAGGTAATAACATCCTGGTAAATTCAGCCTAGCACAAACCAGATTCCTTCAATGCATCAACAATTAGTATTCTGTATTACTTCTGTTAAAAACAGAGGTCAAACAATTATATCAAAAGCTAAAGCAAAATAGTTAATCTAGTATTTATTTACATCCTTGACACGCTCTCTTCTGTCTAAGCAGATTTTCAAGTTTAGCACGTGTACTTGATGGAAAATCCAAACATCAGGAAGCGCAAAAAGTGGATGAACGGACAGAGGCAGACGGAAAACCAAAAAAACAAGAAAGACTAAGTAGTGTGCATTGTTAATGAGGGTACAGGGTTCCAAGGCTTGACTGGGCTATGCTTTTTATACATGTTAAATAACAGAGTTGAGCCAATTATGCCAAAAGACTAAGCTGATTGGAAACTATTAGTTACAGTATATTCTTAATAAGTTATAAGAATAACTGGAAATTCTCCACTTTAGGATACGCCAAAAGTTCAGTCTTTAACCCTTTTTTTTTTCCTTTCAGTCGGATATAATTCTCATGTTGTAATGCAAAATTTCAAATTACCAGAGGCAAAACGGGAACATCTCATGGAGTAAGGTCAAGATTTTCAATGAAGCGAATAAATCTTTACGATCATAACGAAGTAAGAGTATGTTATGATCAAACCACTACACACCAGCAGTTCCAGCAGACAATCTACTATTTGCGGAAAGAAATTCAGATCCTTCCCTTAATTTCCCCATCAAGCAAACAGAAAACCAAATTCAAATTAACATTAAACTCCTCTCCCCAGAGCAAAACATCCTTGCGTTTGTACACAGCACACATGCATGACGCAACGAGATGAATACATATATTTGAGAGAGAGAGGGGGTACCCCATATCATCATTGTAGTCTTCGTCTGCCATTGTAGATTGCCGGTGATGCCTTCTCTGTGCTCTGCCTTACGCGCCCAAAACCCTAGCTGACAGGAAGCAATCAATTAAAGGAAAAGTGACAGAGCCCCCCGATGCTACTTCCCTGCGTGTACTTATATATACTTCGAAGGGCTTTATTGTAAATTCGGTCGTATTGTTTGTTTCTATTTTTTTTTAAATTCTAATCCGTACCAATCACCGCTAACGAATTATAGAATTTAATTTTTTTTTATTATACTTTCAATTATATATTTTTAATTGAAATACAATTTTCAATAAACAATTGGCATAATTTTTAATCAAAAAACGTTTTAATTGTAAAATTAAGGAAAATATAATATATATATATTTATCTTTCACTATTCGATAAATTAGTATATTTTTAACAAGTTTAATTTAAATTTAATCAAATTTTTAGTTGAAGTTATTAGTAGAATTTTTAATTAAATGGTTCGTAAAATTTTAATTTTAATTGAATTTTCAACCAAAATAATTGTATTATTTAGTAAACATTTATTTAAATATCAAATTAATTATAAAGTTTTTAATCAAGCAATTAATGAGATTTATTTTAAACGAGTTTGCTCGTGTGTAAAATGTAATTGTGAGAATTTGATTAATTTAAATTTATATTTTTAAATATAATAAATTGGAACTAGCTATTTATGTAACATTCAATAATTTTTTTATTTTTTATTTTTTTAAATATACTTAATTATTTATTTAATTTAATTTAATAAAAAAATAAATAAATAATTTATTAATAATTAAATTGAAAATAATTTAGAAAAAATAGGTAAAAATTTAGATTATAGAAGTATTTTTAAAAGAAAAATAAAAAATCGGTGGTCAAAATGTAATTTAAAAAAATTGTATAATATCAAATGTCCGATCAGTAGCTCCAACCAAGCAGGATGCGCCATGTGACAGAGGCGCTGACGCGGAGGGGAGTCACGTGGACAATCTGCGAACGCGCGATCAAACAGCTGAGCTATGTTCCTGCACGCACGGACAACTCAGATTGAAATTGCACACGAACAGTTCAGATTGACATAAATTAATTTACGTCACATTCGTGCTATTGCATAGTTTTATATTTTGATTAAAAAATTATATTAATGTTCATATTCAAATCTACATATTTATTTATAGTTAGTATATGTTATTCGACACATGAATTAAAAAATTTATATATATTATTTATTAAATATATAAAATTTAATAATAACAATTGCATAATTTTGAATGATAAATTATTTTTTTTTAATTTTACAATTGCATTTTAATGTTATTACAAATGCAAAAACCAGCAGCGCGGTTCCGCGTTCGTTCCCGATGAGGAAAAATATTCATGCGGCTCCAAGAGGCGGGAGCGCATTTTAGCGCCAATTACAAAATCAAAATGGCGGGCGCAGAAACCCTTCTCTTCAAATTTTAAGCGCCCAACCATAGGAACCTCCTCCGTCAAATCCGCAATTCGGCTTGCAGAAATTAGAAAAGAGATTAACGAAAAAGGTTTCAAATCTCAGCATCCGGAATTGTTCTAAACTTCGATCGCGATGGACGTCTCGAGGAGAAAGGGCTTGAAGCGAAAACTAGAGCAAGATTTCCAGGAGGAGAGGCAAAATTGCAAGTTGGCCCTCATCGACCCCCAACCGGAGCACGATCGTCAAGGTCTGCTCCTCGAGATTCGCTCCCAGGTGGAAATTCTCGATTATACTTTCTCTTCTGACCAGGATGATCGCGCCGATGCTAAGCGCGCTGCTCATGCTCTCTCTGAGCTCGCTAAGAACGGTACGCCGCTCCTTCTTTATGCGGATCAGGGTTGTAATACGTGCGCTTACTATGTCCATAAGCTGAACAACTTCTACTTACGTGTTTATACATATGCCTGTCTTGCAATTCTATTTCCAGGAGTAATCAAAATGATTGTATTTGGCCGTGTAGGTTTTACTGCCTCGGGTTGATCTAGTACTCATGTGAAATGGTCACTCGCGGTGTTCGCTTGAGTTTTAGTTGTCTTATTGGTTTTTCCATTCTCCGCTTTTAATGAACCGCGTTTGTTCGGTTTAGTTTTGTCGTAGTTTTTCGATGAACTCGTTGCATATGATATGTGATTCCGGTTATTTGAGCTGTTTTGGGGTCTAGGGGTGTTGATTTTGGTCATTTTGGCAGAGGACAACGCTGACCTGGTTGTCGACTGTGGAGCTGTGCCTCTGCTAGTGAGGCATCTTCAGGCGCCACCGCCTTCAAAAGCAGATGAAAATGGACCCAAACCTCTCGATCATGAGGTGGAGAAAGCATGTGCTTTTGCCCTTGGATTTCTCGCTGTAAAAGTAATTCCAATGATTCCTCACCATTTCAAAATTTTTCCATTAATTCTCTTTATGCTTAATGCCTTTTATTTTCTTTTATTTTAAGCTCTCTTCACTCTTTGTCTCTTGTTGTATTATCAACTGTTAAGTGTTTGTGCCAAGTATATACCCTACTAAAGGATTTTATTTATACGTCCACTTGTTGTTGCAACTCCTGCAGAAGATGTCAACCAACATCACTTGCTATCATATTTTCCCTTCCATTGCATCCGAAGCCACTAGCCTTATTGCCTCTATAGCTCGATATAATTTATGTTCATATTTTGTTGTAGCCGGAGCACCAACAACTTATAGTTGATGCTGGAGCTCTATCACACCTTGTGAACTTGTTGAAGAGACACAAGAATTGTGATAACCCCCGCACTGTCAGTGGTGTTATTAGAAGAGCTGCTGATGCAATCACTAACCTGGCTCATGAGAATGCTAGAATTAAAACTCGTGTCAGGTATACTTGTTTGTATGTTTGCTTTCTCTCATTGCTGTCACATCCTCATTTGATATGATCCAGTTTTTATCCTCAGAAATGAGGGTGGCATTCCACCTCTTGTTGAGCTGCTAGAGTTTGCTGATGTAAAAGTGCAGAGGGCAGCAGCAGGGGCCCTACGGACTCTTGCCTTTAAGAATGACGAAAACAAAATTCAGGTCAGGTTTCTTTCCGCTGGTCATATCTTTTAGTCACTTGAGCGTTATTGTTTACATGATAGAAAATTTGCAGATCATTGAAAGCAGTGCTCTGCCCACCCTTATACTGATGCTTCGGTCTGAGGATCCTCTTATACATTATGAAGCGGTGGGCTCTTGTCTAAACTTTTATGCCTTGGTTTGTGTCCACTTGGAGTTTTATTGCTTTCTTTAGCTGACTTCCAGAGGATTGTCAGATTGGCGTGATTGGGAACCTTGTTCACTCATCCCCAATTATAAAGAAAGAAGTTATTCTTGCTGGTGCCTTACAACCTGTTATTGGATTACTAAGGTATTGCTGGAATGCTTGATTTTCTATCAGGTGTCACTTTTTGCTTAGTGAGATTATAGTTTTGATACTCTATTGAAATTTGCTTCCGTTTCTTTCTCCAAACTCTATTAATGTCCTTAGTGCCAAACAGAAAAAGAAAGAGCAACTTGAAGACATAAAAAGCAAAGAATTTAGTTGTTTACATGCTGAAGCATTAATAACTTTGGTGACAGATCTTCGTGTTCAGAGACACAAAGAGAAGCAGCATTGCTAGTTGGACAATTTGCTGCTGCTGATTCGGATTGCAAGGTTGATATCTCTGTTCAATGTTGGATTTTTAGCTATCAGTACTCTGCTGTATTTTATTTGTTTCTTTTATACGTTATAAAAAGTGAGACTGCTGCAGGCGCACATTGCTCAAAGAGGAGCTATCCCGCCGTTAATTGAGATGCTTCAGTCTTCAGATACTCAGCTCAAAGAAATGTCAGCTTTTGCACTTGGGCGTTTAGCTCAGGTATTTATTTTGTATTACTATTATTATCTCTATGTTTATAATGGCTCTGGAAGACGCTACCTGCAATTTATGAGTGTAAAATTTTATTTAAATGTTCTTGGCAATTAGTTATTTGGTTTTCCAATAAAACATATTTAAGACGTTTAACTAAATTCTTTGATGATTGGGTGGTAACTTCAAATGTAGGAGACTGTTGCTTGTCTAATTCGCAAACATTAGGGTGTTTATTTAGATAGTTATCTGGGAATCATAGAAATCTTAACATCTGTTTGCTAATATTGCTTGATGCCAGGATGCACACAATCAAGCTGGCATTGCTCAGACTGGTGGTATAGGTCCGCTGCTCAGCCTTCTTGATTCGAGAAATAGTACTCTGCAACATAATGCTGCATTTGCTCTGTATGGTATAGCAGATAATGAGGTAAGTATTGCCGGAGCACTTTTTTCATTTGAGTCATCTAAGAGTGTAGTGAAGCTTATTTTAAGTTTTATGCAGGATAATGTTGCAGATCTTATCAAACTTGGAGGTGTCCAGAAACTTCTGGATGGAGAATTCATTGTTCAAGTATGCTTTAACTGCTTTCTGTATTTCATATATGGGGGTCTTGACTTTTACCAGCCTTTCATGCTGTTATTCTCCTCACCTATGCATTAATGAATTAATAATTTACGTCCTTGTTTGCGTTGGGTTTCTATTTGGTTCTTATATTTAAAATGTAATTTCAGCCAACTAAAGATTGTGTGGCAAGGACTCTGAAGAGATTGGAGGATAAGATTCACGGACAAGTAAGTTGATTTATTTTTAGTTCTTTGCACTTTATTCTTTCAAGGTGCTTATTACACAAGCAGTGGCTCACCACAGCACAAATTCTTTTTCTGTTTTCTCGATAGGTGTTGAATTATCTCCTGTATCTGATGCGGGTTGCAGATAACACTGTTCAAAAGCAGGTTGCTTTGGCTCTTGCTCATCTTTGTGCCTCTTCTGATCGAAAAACTGTTTTTATTGATAACAAGGGTAGGAACGCATGAGCTGTCACTTATCCTTCAGTTTCTGGAAAAACCTTTGCTTTATTGTTCATTTGGCTCTCTATTTTCTTACCTGTTCGCTTTTAATGCATACCCTGTTCTTTTAGGATTGGATTTGCTGCTGGAGTTCCTCCAGTCTGCAAGCCTGAAGCAGCAGCAAGATGGTTCAGCAGCATTGTACAAGTTAGCTACCAAGACTATTTCACTGTCCCCCATGGATGCAGCTCCCCTATCACCAACCCCACAGGTACCCTTTTTAAGCATCTACATAGTTAAATTTTGGAGCATTTATATTTGTTTTAGTTTGGGGACCCAGCTGAAGTATATGATAGCAGGGAACATGGATATGCTGATGCACTGTATACTTCAGAGAGAGGAAAGGAAGATTTATCTCACTCATTAATGTAGATATTACATCCTTTACCTATAACTGGTAGTGAAAGTACTGTAGCAAGGAGACTTAAGAGTTAACATAGGATGTGCGCGAGTAGAGATAGACACAAAAAGACATGTAGATAAAAGAGTGGTTACATGTCCTCATCTATATGCTCCTTCAAGATGATGCTCCTGTTGGATTTAGCAGTCTTAGACCCTAAAGCTTGCAGATGATAATTTGGTTGTGCCTTTATAAGAAGTTCAGCAAATTGGTCCTTCCTAGAAGCATGCTTGACAAATAATTCAGCAGCTGAACTTCCTTACCAACGAAGTGTTAATCAAGAGCAAAATGCATCATCTGGCTATGGGAACTGGGTTTGCATAGAAATTGGCAATACTAACATTGTTAAAATAAACCTCAAGAGGTAGTAGAGGAGCCACTTGAGACCCAGCTAGTAATAATAGAATCTAAGATAACTAGGCAGTGAGGGATGTCACAGTAGGATGCTTTGGCTTAGTTGAAGAAGGGGTTATGTTATGCTGCTCCATGCGGTATGCTCAAGAGTTTTGAAATGTCTGTTGTTGATTATCAACTATGACAACATCCTGCTTGGGTCAACCTTTAATTATACATGATTTAAGTTGAATTATTATGTCCAGTTTGCCTTCATACCTGGGACTCGGTTTATATGATCACATGACTTTTTCGCAGGTTTATTTGGGTGAGCAATATGTAAACAATCCTACGTTGTCTGATGTGACATTCCTTATTGAAGGTATGATATGGTTTCTCTATGATTTTATACAAATGACAAATACTTTGGTAAATGTGTATATATATTGTTTGTTATCACACTGGTGCGGAGTTTTGAAGCTTATTGGAAAAATCATTGGTTCTCATGGATCTTTTTACATAATCAGGCAAAAGGTTCTATGCCCACAGAATTTGTCTCCTAGCTTCATCAGATGCATTTCGTGCAATGTTCGATGGTGGATACAGGGTGAGCATTGCTTCAATGAGTTTTTGAATCTTTTTCCTATGAGTTTACTCATTTATTACGTTATATGAAATTGTAGACACTTGGCATAGCATAACTTAAAATCATTAAAAAAAGTAGCTTAAAGAAGATTTTTCAGTAAGTAAAAAGTGGGTAACCTTTTTAATGCTAATTGTTTATTACTTACGTGGAGAAAACGAAAAATTGAATATCAGGAGAGGGATGCCAAAGATGTAGAAATTCCAAATATTAGATGGGATGTCTTTGAGCTGATGATGAGGTTGGTTTCAAATCCTCTTCATAATTTCTTGTCACACATGAGCAATTCTGCCATAACATTTCTTAACTTTAACGGGCTTTCCGTACCTCTAGATTCATTTACACAGGATCTGTAGCTGTTAATGTTGATATTGCTCAAGATCTCCTGAGAGCTGCTGATCAATATCTGTTGGAGGGCCTTAAACGGCTATGCGAGAGTGCCATTTCAAAGGTATGCATCCCGGTTGGGGTTTTTTTTAACTAAGGGAGGCCAAGAAGTCAGTGTCTTTTGTTAACCTTGATATCTGCTTTTTAAAATAAATACTTGATTTGTCTTTTTTTTTTTAAAATAAATTTTTCTCAAGGATATCTCGGTTGAAAATGTATCACTCATGTATGAGTTATCAGAAGCCTATAATGCCGCGACATTAAGGGAATCGTGCACACTGTTTGTCCTGGAGCAATTCCAAAGGTTGTCTCAGAAGCCATGGTATGTTATTCCTGTGTATGATAATCAGATGTCTCTACAGCATTTAAAAGTTGAATACCATCAAAGACGAACCATATTGGCTTTTTCCTACTTGCATTTGCTCTACATTCCAAATCAATTTAATTCTATCCTGCTTCTACTAATTATGGTGCTCGTCAGTCCAGTTATGTTGATATAATTACATGCATCTGAAAGGTCGGGAGTCAATTTGTGATGACTCGCAGGTTTTCTCGATTTATTCAACGTATCATACCAGAGATTCGGAACTACTTAACAAATGCACTCGATCGGCCTGTATTACAGAACCAGACTCAGATGTAAATGATTTCACCGAGGCTGACTTCGATCTGGTGCTGCATGCTTGTACAGTGAACTTAGATAGTCGTCCATCAGCTAATTGGGATATTACCAAAAGGTTTTCTCTTTTTTTTTTTGGAAGTGGGAAGAGGTAGGGCTCCCGTGTATGGAATGCTGCTAACGTCTCATTTTTTCTTTTCAACTCGTCAGTTCTGTTGTAATTCAATTTTGTATGTAGAAATTCTCTTCCGATTTTACTTTGGTGCTACAAAAATTGTAGTGTCCTTCTAAGTGTATTTATTAATTTGGAAGCGGACCAGATTGAGATCGTGTCAGAAATTTCCTTCCGTTCGAATTGGACTGAATCGGCACCGACTAGTTCAAACTTGAGTTTTTCTGAAAATTATATTTTTTAATTGAATGATTATTTATTCAATACATTTATGTTAATTACATAACAAATAAAAAGTATAGCAGCGAAATCAATATGTCAGAAGTTAATATAATTTATTATATATTCTGTACGTGAGCTGCATATTAGTTTTGATTTGTAATTTTATCTAAAAGCAGCAATTTACGCTTTTGGGAACACTGAAAAAAAAAAAAAGAAAAAGGGGGGGTTTATCTGCTTGATAGACCAGAAACGGAGAGACGAAAGAAAGCAGGAGGGAACCGCCATGGCTGTACAGCTTTCGAGCCTCTGGCTGCCTTCTCCTACAATCTCTGGTCGGTGCTGTAGCAAATCAGTGGCATCTTCCCCTACTCTTCTCTCGTCTGCAACCGCATCTCTCTCCTCCCCGTCTCCTACCGTTCAGGCAAGACTGATTGATTCTTTCTTCTTCATCCATTTTTTTTTTTTACTCATACGGCCATGCAAGCACCCGTGTATGCTTTTTGCTCGTAGTGTTCTCTCCGTTAATTGGTTCATGCTTCTTGATTGCGAGTGAGACTTGCGGGTTAGCTTTCACCTGTCTCTCACTTCTAGCATTACTGATTAAATTTTCTTGGGGGGGGGGGGGGGGGGTGCATTCGAAGAGTGTAAAATCAAAAGGAGAGTTAAATTGAACGAATAATTTTATTGAAAATGTAAAGTTTGGTGCAGATTGTTGGTGGGAGAACCCCGAGTTGGAGTGGAAATGAAACTTCTAAATACGTGAATACGGTTGACGATCACCAAGGAGAGACTGAATGGACTGATCTGGAAGCCGATCTTTGCTACTGGACCAAAGCGTTGCGTCCTGTTCAAGTAATATTTAGTTATCAACTGAAATTTGTTCATCTGGAAAAGGTTTATTATTGCGGTAAAATGCTTACTTGGGATGCTGCTAATTGCGCAGTGGTATCCTGGGCATATTGCCAAAACCGAGAAGGAACTTAAAGAACAACTCAAGTTGATGGATTTGGTGATTGAAGTGCGTGATGCTAGAATTCCCATGTCCACTACACATCCTCAGGTTAATATATATATATATTTTTATAATTATTCCAATACCATTTACGTGCTTAAGTTATAAGATAAATTTTGACTTATGTCAGTTTTGATTTTCTTTCTGGCCCTTTTCATAAGATGAGTAGGAAGATTTTTTCTTTGTCCCACTGTTGTTGCCTGTTTGGAGCGTGAAGAGTTCCACAAATTCGTATTTTGTTCTTGATCAGTGACTTCTAGAGATTTTAATAAATGATATAAACTAAATCTCACTTAAAAGTTAAAACTTGGGATTGTTAAGATGACATGTGTAATGCCGTTGGAAAGAAACATAAGTACCAGCGTTACCGTTTTGAAATGTCTCTTTGCCCTAATCATTTTTGGATATAGAGATAACTCAGATTCTACCGAGTTTGACTCAATTCTTTTTGTACGAGCAGATGGGTTCATGGCTAGGAAATAGGAAAAGGATTCTAGTATTGAATAGAGAAGACATGATATCCAAAGCAGATAGAAATGCTTGGGCAACATATTTTGCTAGGCAGGGAACAAAAGTCATCTTCTCTAATGGGCAACTTGGAATGGTATTTACCTTATATTTTCTAGGTGTCCTTCTCCCTTCTCCCTGAAATATATAGGAACAGATGATTAATCTTGATAAATCTTGTATGGCAAGTGCAGGGCACTATGAAGTTAGCTCGTTTAGCAAAGGCATTAGCAGCTGGTGTAAATGTCAAACGCAGAGCAAAAGGACTGCTTCCTCGTCCTGTGGGTTTCGCTAAAAACTAAATCCAATTTTTAAGCTTCATTGTACATCTTATATCTTTCACTTTTCCCTTGCATTTTCTTGGGATTTTCTGCTCCGTCCTTTCTCAAACATTGGATCAAGTTACCGAATTTTAGTTTTTCCAGTGCTTAGTGCTGCTGAATATTGTTCAGCGTTGATTAATAGTATAGAATTTTATTATTTGAATCTTCTTTATCAAGATTCTCTCCGCTGCTGCCCATCTTCAGTGGTCTACAACAAATTATCTATATGGTTGACGATGTTTCTTTTATTACTATGCAGGTTCGTGCTGGAATTGTTGGGTATCCAAATGTTGGCAAGTCATCTTTGATCAACCGTTTACTGAAACGGAGAATGTGTGCAGCAGCTCCTAGGCCAGGTGTTACAAGAGAATTGAAGTATGTTAAGTTTAATTGTAAATTTTGCCCATTTGAAAGATTTTGGAGTTTTATTGCATTCGCAGTAAAATTTTCTCCCCCAAATTTTTCTAGTAATCATACTCAAAACTTTTTTTTTTTTTAATATAATATGCCAATTAATAGAGCCATGTCTACTGTTATACATTTTTCCTCTGTAAAGGTGGGTTCGGTTTGGGAAGGATCTTGAGTTGCTTGATTCTCCTGGAATACTCCCCATGCGGATTAGTGATCAAGCAGCAGCAATAAAGCTTGCGATCTGTGATGACATTGGAGAGAGATCGTATGATTTCACCGATGTTGCTGCAATTCTTGTACAGATGCTGGAAAGGATTCCAGCAGTAGGTTTGTATTCTTTTAATGTTTCTTCTACTTCTGCTAATATAGCAACATTACTTGTTCCCACTTCCATCAGAGGGACATTTTCAGTTGTGAGGAAGTCTCGCATCCAATTGATACATACGTGATCTTTTCATTTGGCATCATGCGATGCTATTTATAGGTTTGTCTAAAGGAAAATATAATTCTTTGTGAGTCAGGATCCTTGTTCATGGTTCGGATTTAAGAAGGTACGAGTTTGGGTGTCAGGAAATTAAGGATAAAAAGGGGAAAATTATAAAAAAAGTAAATTAGTCTTTTGTGTGTATTAATTAGGATTAGTGTTAGAGTAATGTTTTGAATGTATTTCCATAGCAGCCACCACTGCATCATAAATGACCACTATTTCGTCTGGTGATTTGGGTGCTTTTATTGCTTAATAGTTTATAAAATGCTCAATTTTTTTGCTTGCAATTATGAAGGAAAATAATAAGAATAATTCCATCGGATTTCCCTCTCTGTTTCTCTTCTATTTCTCTCTTCTTCTCTCTTCTCTTTTCTTTCTTTCACAAGATCAGACAGCCATGTCAAAGGCTTCCGACATTGGGTTTAAGAGAAAGAAAGAGAGAGATAGGAGAAACAGAGAATTTAGGGAGAAAGAGACTGAAAGAAGAAAAATCCGTAAGAGAGAGAGAAAATGAGAGAGAATAGAATACTGAGAGAGAAGAAGAGGTTTCAGAGAGGAATAGATAGAAAATCAGAGAGAGAGAGAAATCTTAGGGATATTATGAAAGTTTACTCAAATAATTCATTTCATTCATTGGTGCCCCTACTTCGAACACATTAGATTATATACAAGAAAAGATGCATGAACAAGTTCATAGATAGCTAAACGTCCCAAAAGAGCCGAAGAGTTGCAGAGAAAAACCTTAGATTCACCGAATGAAGATGGAAAAGGAGGCAGTCAGTTAACCTAGGGTTTGAGAGGATTAAATACCCCTCTTACGATCAAGACACATGTCTCCCCCAGAAATCCTGTATGCATGTCATGTAGCCTATTTTTTAAACAGTATACCCTTTAGGATTTGGATTCCCTGCAGAAATTTTTATTTTTTTCCTTCTGTTTCCCAACTGATCTAGTGTTTTCTTGCTCATTTTCTCCTGATTGCACTCGGATCCTTACATTGTGCCACATTATATTTCGAGATTTCTGCAGAACATTGTTAGGCTATTAAAATTTCTGCACTCGTTATTGTGATGTCATGCATAGTAAACCTTATCGAAAGAGACATAAAGACTTATGAATTAAGTTGTACATAGCTAGGCTTGGTTTCTTTTCATGTTTTTCAACCTCAACGTCTTATATTAAAGTAGACCAACAATCCCAATTCAACTTTGAATTTACGTGGTAATTGGATGAAATTTAAACTGAAGATCTTCCTCTTACTTCACCTACTAGTATCTAAATCTAATTTGCTTTTTTGTTTCCTTCCAGGCAGAGGGGCTCTTCAAAATCGCTACAAGATTGATGTGGATGGTTACTGTGGTAAAACGTATGATTCCCATCAGGGTAGTCTGCATACCTTTCAATTAGATAACTACTTGAGAATAGGAAGTATGAAGGCCTTTCTAGGGAACGCTAAATTGAACATTATAGCACTTGGGTGGCATAAAGGAAGACAAAAACATTAAAATAAATCATCTTATGCGGGGAAGTCTCGGTTGTCTTTTGCTTTAGAAAGTTTGGGAGATTCATTCTGTGGAAGTTTTGCACTAATCGTTTCTATTGATTTTTTGTATTGCAGATTTGTCCAGAAAGTCGCCATTCAGTTGTTCAATGGGGACGCCCATCAAGCTGCATTTCGCATTCTGATGGATTTTCGAAAAGGGAAGTTTGGTTGTATCGCATTGGAGAGACCTCCCTGCTGATGCTGTTGGATGTGATACTGCACGAGGCAAATCTTTGATTTCTCGAGGATGCCAAATCAAAAAAGGTTATCAAAATAGAACTTGGAAATCCTCAGATTGAAGGAAGATGCAAAAAGTCCATCAAGATGGGATGCCGTGAAAGAAGAGAACTCCATTAGAAATCATCAGATTGAAGGGACCTATTGCAGGTTGGTTCTGAAATACATTGAAGGCTCTTGAAGCTTGATTCGAACAGATAGTAAGTTTCCATCTCAGGGTTTATTCAACCATCTTATAGAGTTGTTTTCTCATTAGCAACCATAACTAGTGACAAGTAGGTGAAAATGTCTTGTACTTATTGCAGACTGTAAATTATTTCTCCAAGCAAAGAAGTATAGCAAAGCATCTTTCATTTTTTTAAAAGTGAAGCATATATTAGTCTTTTCTTGGCCTTCTCTTGAAAATTTTGGATTGCCAGAAGGGTGAAAAACCAAGTAGGAGTTAACCCTTTAAAGCTAAATTTTGCTGCTTTGTTCTCAATTTTTTAGTTTGATATTTATAAACTTTTTAAAACTATGAATTCAGTTTCTTAATGCACTCTAAAGGGTACGTTCAAAACACATTAATTTTATAGAATTCATTTAGAAATGTAGATTAATTTTTTAAAGCATGTATTTAATTTCAAATAATTCTTAGTGGGATTGGTCAGTTCTTTTAAATTTAAACAAAAATATAAACTTCAAGGTAAAATCTTTCACACTGCAATGGTGGGATTTAGTTGATAATGAATTAAATATGAATTTACAATCTCCAGATTTTTGAGGATCAATCTTTAAAATATTAAAATATTAAACAGGATCACAGGAACAACCAATAGTCATGGCGATAGCCTCTATATATTTTTGCTTTTACACAAAAGGAAAACATCCAAACCATAAGGGCTAATTGCTAAAAGGCATGAAAAGCTGGAATACCTGAACAAAGACACACTATCAAACAATGATGAAACAAATACAACACAAAATCTACAGAGAATCTTGTCCAAGAAAAATAACCAAAGCCTGCTCTCTCTTCATCAACATTTCACTACTTGTCACTAAAAAGATTATATGTAACATCAACAAATTCTAATCTGACTGAATTTAAGCGAAAATGGGTTTTATTTTACACGGAGATGGTTTGCGTCCTCTCATCTTGCAGTTGTTGGAGCACAGGTGGAATCACCTTTACTCGACCAACTTTCCTTGATTCTACAGGCTTGGATTGGCCTTTCAATCTGCAGACCTTCGGTCGTCGCTTTGTCCAACTGACAACAGTATCTCTGAAATGTTCTCACATTTACTTGTAGCCTAAAATCCAGGCTAAACAAAAATGTCATCTCCAATCTGTTCAACTCTGCAGTCGTTACTCCTCCAACTCTCGCATAATATGCATTATTGAAAAATCTGCAAGGATCACGGAAAAAGACATCTTAATTCTACATCAGAAGGAACAATAAGCCAAAAACCTGAACAGAAAAACATAATATACATGATTGAAACCAATTCCTTGCTGACAAATCACTCCCTAAGTGTCTATAACGGTCATCTGTATGGTATAATTGAAGGCCTAAATCAAGTTCATCCATTCATTACCATCAGGAACTTCTAACTAAAAATATCCCTCAGTGACATAATGATTATCTGCATCATGGAATTAAGGGTCTAATCAAGTTCATATATACATTATCATCAGGAACTTCTAACGAAAAAAATGAAGCATATGTTTCTTTTTCTTCCCTGTCTAAAGTAAGCGAAATGTAAGATTAGTTGGGATAAATGCGAGAGAACTAAGTCAGAATACTTGCTAATAATTTGGCACAACTGCTCAAGTGTTTGAAAACACAATCTCATCTTGGCTAAACAAGAACAGCATGGGGGAAGCCTAAGGCTGAACTAGGACCGGCAAACTTGGCCTCTGACATAAAATTTGAGACTGGGTTTTGGGGGAAGATAAGGAAGAACAGTCTTGTCGTTGACACATGCAACCATATACACGGCATGCTAACTATCTCTTCATAAAATTATATGAAAGACTCAATCAGGTCAAACTCCTAGTTGAAAAGTCAGTAAAACAAGTTTGAATCACTAGAGTTCTAATATAAGTAACAAACACCTACAAGGAATTGGTACTTACGCATCATCAAAAACTTTGGCTGCTAACATCACACTTGTTATAAGAAGCCGGTGAATATTAAGGGAAGTGAGATGAACATCAGTTTGCTGAAGGAATCTATCCACATAGATTTGGGCAACAACAAAGCAGGAGGGACTGCAGCCAGAGTACTTGAAGATTCGATCAACATATTGCTGAATACTGATAGTTGGAGCTCTTAAACCATGAAATACAGTAGCAACATCTTGAATTTGCATCGTCTCAAGTAGCTTTTCATTTTTCTGGACACATCTCTCAAGTAATGAAGAAAGAAGAGATAAAATTCGTGGACTTCCTGAAACTCCTTTGCCCAACTCTTTAAGCCCTAAATCGGAGTATATGTCCGAATTCTCACTTTCAGAATCGAGTGCAAGGCTACCCATAATTATACTGCACTGCAAAAGGTAAAAACCAATAAGAAGTCCAGCATGAAAAAAAGCCACCAGTGCATTTTAGTTGGAGGAAGCTGGGATATATTATCAAGAACAAATCTGAAAAGGAGTATATTAACATAGAAAAAGCAGTTCCGGTGATAAAGGAAAGTGTCTGAAATGTATTAAGATTCAATTTATTAGGACTTAAGTTGAAATTCACGACTTCTGTAACTTCTATATATTTCAACAATGTGATTGTTGATGTTGAAATATTGGTAAGCTATCAAATAAATTTTTGGCAATGTGGAAACTTTAATGCTTTTCACTACGGTCTAATTCTTGATCAAGTAGTTGCAATTAATAACCAGTCATCACTATCCAGATTCAGGCATCTAGAATATACGCACGTGAAGAAGAATATTATAAGATTATTTTGAGATAAATCTTATAATTGGTTAATAGGATCACATATGAGTTGACAAATTCTGTAATATAACCGGTTAATTTCAAATTTATGTCAAATATTATAAAAATGAAATCTA